ACTTGAGGAAAGAAGGGATGAGTTGACCAGGTAGTAAGAGGAACAGACAAGTAGTTCAGGATTCCCCTAGGGTCCTGCTCACCAATCAGTTTTTCATTTAGGAATTTGCTGAGGACTGTGGTTCCTCTAGGAAGTGCAGACAGGAGGAGTTTAAACTAGTTCAACAGGGCAGGGAAGCGGTGCGTTAGTTCAGTTAATGCCGCAGCATACCTTAGAAAAGGAACCTAGACAGAGGGAATTGAGCCATGTGTCTGAAGGAAGGAAAGCAAGGCTGGAGAGCCTTGACTTTATTGCTAGGTATATTATAAGAAAGATGGATGAGTTGAGGGTGTGGATTGACATGTGGAATTGCCATGTTGATGCCATCACAGAATGTGGTTGAGGGAGGGGCAGGACTGGCATCTCTACATTGCAGAGTATAGGATCTTCAGGCAAGACTGGGATGGTGTAAAAGAGGGCACGCTGTTGCATTATTGATTAAGGAAACAGTTACTGTATTAAGGAGGGATGATATCTTGGAAAGGTTGTCAAATGGAGCTTTCAGCGTTCAGAAATAAAAAGATCAGTCACAATGTCAGGTGTGATTTTTGACCCCCAAACAATCAACAGGCACAGGAGAAAGACAATTCACTGAGGTGTGTAAAAATAACAATAAGGTAATTTATTAGGGGATTTGAACTATTCCAATATTAATGGATAATCATAATATGAAGGGTTTCGAGGGGTCAAATTTCTTGAAATGTATTCAGTGGAGATTTTTATATCAATGTGAAGATGGTCCTACAAAGGACTGTCCAGTGCTGGACCTAATTCTGGGGAGCGAAGCTGCACGGTTGTCCGAGGTGACAGTGGGGAACATTGTAGTGATAGCGACCATAACACTATGTTTTATGTTTGTTATAGAAGAGGAAATAGATGGTCTATAAAAGAGGTGGATTTCATTAAAATAGGTCAGGATCTGTCCAACATAAACTGGGAGCAGCTATTTGAGGGCACATCCACAACATAAGTGAGAAGCTTTCAAAAAGGTATTGGGGAAAGTACAGGTCCAGCGTGTGCCCATTAGGGTGAAATGTAGGAGCAACAATCCCAATAAATCTTGGATGTCAGAATATTCAGGACCGGATTAAAAAAAGAGACACTTACAACAGGTGCAAAGAGAGCAAATCAATAGCGGTCATGTGAAATAGGAACAAGAGTAGGCTATTAGGCTCCTCGCCTGCTCCACTATTCAATAGAATCATGGCTGATCCAACATTCCTTAGTCCTTTTCCCTGCCCTTTCATCAAACCTTGATTCCCCTACTGATCAAGAATCTCTATCTCAGCCAAAAATAAACACAAGGACTCTGTCCCCACAGCTTTCTGACAAGAAGTTCCAAAGACACTCAACCTTCTGAGAGAAGAAATTCCTTCACCTCTCTTAAATTGCTGCCCCTTCATTCTGAGACTGTGCCGTCTGGTCCTATTCACACTCATGAGGAGAAACATCCTCTTCCCTGTCAAGCCCCTTAAGAATCCTGAATATTTCAATGAGATCCCCCTCATTCTTTAAAATTGTAATGAGTAGAGTCCCAACTTATTTAACCTTTGTTCATTAGACAATCCCTCCATTCCAAGGATCATTCTAATGAACCTTTTCTGAACTGCCTCCAATGGAATATCTTTCCTCAATTTCAGGGATGAAAATTGCTCACCAATTCTCCTGATGTGGTCTCACCAGCACCTTTGTTCAGTTGCAGTAAGACTTCCCTGCTCTTTTAGTCCAACCTCCCCTTGAAATAAGGGACAACATTCATTCACCTTTCTGATTACGTGCTGTATGCTAGCTTTAATTTGTGTTTCATGCACAAGTACTCTTGAGTCCCTTTGTGTTGCAGCTTTCTGCAGGTTTTCTCCATTTAAATAAGTGTTCTTTTGTTCTCCCTTCCAAAATTAACAACTTCACATTTTAGATCATAAGATATAGGAGCAGAATTAGGCCATTTGGCCCATTGAGTCTGCCCTGCCATTCAACAATGCCTAATATATTTCTCAATCCCGTTCTGCCTTCTCGTAATCTTTGATCTGCTCATTCATTGATAACCTACGTCTCTGTCTTAAATACACTCAATTGCATGGTCTGCACAGCCTTCAGTGGCAATGGAAATGACAGATATACAGTTTTGTGCTGAAGAAATTCCTCATTTCAGTTCTAAAGGGTTGTCCCTTCACTTCGAGTCTGTGCCCTCACGTCTTAGTCCCCACCAATTAGTGGAAACTGCGTGGAGTTTGCACGTTCTCCCCATGTCTGACAGAGTTTACTCCAGGTGTTCTGATTTCCTCCCACAGTCCAAAGATGTGCAGGTTAGGTGGATTGGCCATGCTACATTGCCCATAGTGTTCAGTGATGTGTCAGTTAAGTGGATTAGCCATGGGAAATGCAGGTTTACGGGGATAGGGTAGGGGGGTGAGTCTGGGTGGAGTACTCTTCTGAGAGTTGGTGTGGACATATTGGGCTGAATGGCCTGTTTCCACACTAGGGATTGTTTAAAATGCAGTTTGCTAAAACTGTTACAAAAGGAGAGACTACTGGAGAAACCTCTGGGTCACTGTACCTGAAATATTAATTCTGCTTTCTCTCCACAGATACTCAGACCTGCATGATTTTCTCCAGCAATTCCTACAGTGTGGAAACAGGCCATTAAGCCCAATAAGTCCACGCCAACTCTCAGAAGAGTAGTCCACCCAGAGTACTCTTTGTTTTATGTTAAAATAGTCACTAAGAGAGTGGGGAAAGATTAAGTGAAATATTTTTGCACAGATGATTGTTGAAAGATTGAATGTTTTGCCAAAGGGCATAGAGAGATAGAAATTGTGTCTTCTGAGGTAATTGTTTCAATATTCGAATTGGATGAAGATGCAGTGTTGTGGAATGAATCGGACAGTACGATTAGTTTTGAATTGCTTGAGAACAGAGTTGCCACAGGCAAGATGGACAACTAATATTCTCCTTATAAACATCCACAGCACTATGCTGAATAGCTAGTTTGAGAACTATATAGAACTCTGTAAAGTTTTGACCCCAGTGACTGCATGATTGGGCATGATGACTCTGACTGTAACTGTGCAAACATTAAGGTATTAAACACCATGCAAACCCTGGGTAAACACTATGTGCTCATATTAAATCCACTGTGTTTTTGTTCAAACATGCATTCGTACATGTAACTGATCTGAAATTAGCAATATTAGACAGGCAGAGAGAGAGAGGTAATAGGAGTGTATTATGCACTTTAGAAAAGAAGTCCTATATTGCTCCAGTGAAACCTATTGTGGGGAAGTAAATTATGCATCTGTTGAGTTTTTTTTTCTATTGATCTGTGGTTAATAAATTTTGTGACTCACTTTCCTCTCAGATGTTGAATGCAATCTGTATTTACCGTCTAATGGTCCCCTTCAGGCATATGTTAATTCATTCTTGTTGCATTCCAATATGACAGTATTGCAATGAAGAAGTCAAAGGGAGATATGCAGTCAGTTCATTCAAATAGTTAAATTCTTAAATATAATAGGATGGCATAGACACAAAGGAATATGATTCTCAGAATAAATCTTTGAGCTGTAGCATTGTGATTGCCTGCAATCAGTGAGGTTTTGATGTCGAAAAGTAAATTATACCAGTTACGTTATGGGGCTACCTTTAATAGAACTCACTGAACTCGCTGCTTGGTTCTGTCAGCCCTGCTTGTATAAGTTTGTTTTTTACGTTCACTTTCCCAATAACAGCAACTACAGTTTGTAGGTTAGTTTCCATTTGCAATGTGTACTTAACCTCTATACCTGTCTTGCATGGTAGAACAAGAGACACGCTGCTTCTGATAATTTACATGAAGTATTATGGATATCAATTAGGTCAAAATCTCCCAAAAGCCTCTAGTTTACTAATGGAATACAACAGATTCCTAAATACATCTGAACAGATCGCCATGTGAACACGGCTGCTGAAATACAGTAACTGATTTGGAAAGGGTATACTCAAACAGCAGCAGCCCCCAGCTGAGGGCAAAACTGGGTGAAACAACAGGCTGTGGGTTACAGTGGTAGGATAAAGCCAGAGATACTTTGGTTGACTCAATTTCCTGGAAAAGCCAGTGGCACTGTGGAGTTAGAGCACCATCTAGTTTCTAGACCAAGAGGCAAAGGCCAAGGATTTGGAGACCCAGCAATCTTAACAGCAGGACCTTACTTAAATCTATGCAAACTTTAGCCAGAGAGGTGGGTCGGAGTAGAGGCTCAGTGTCAGTGGGCCGCAGCTTGGGACATGCAGCACGTTCCTCATTTCTGGAGGAGGAAGACATCAGGCATGACAGTGAGGCAGAGAGTTCAGGTCTGCAGAGGCTGGAGGCTTCCTCTTCAGGCCTGGGAGGATCACTTCCACAGTAGGACTACAAGAAGCTTAAATTCCTTGTTCCAGCCATTTTTGGCCACTCAGTTCCTCCCTCTTGCTGCTGCCAAGAACAGCCAGTGCTGCTATCTTTGGCTCTGGGATTAATCATTTATTTTCGTTTCAAGTTCTACTTGAATTCTGTGAAATATTTGTGCTGCAGTAAATTTCTAACCTGTCACTTTCTAACTTGTTTGTGGATTGCGAGTTGAACCTTTGCCGAGCTAAGGCAGTGTACGCCATGTAACCAGAACCTCTGAATGAACAACTCCAAGGAGACCTTTTGAGGCTAACAGGACTAGACGGGTTCGATGCAGAAAGGGATGTTCCTGATGGTGGAATTGTCCAGAATCAGGGGTTATACTTTAAGGGTAAGGGGTAAACTTTTTAGGACTGAGATAAGGTGAAATTTCTTCACTGAGAGTGGTAAGCCTGTGGAATTCATCACCACAGAATGTGGTTGAGGCCAAAACTTTGTGTTTTCAAGAAGGAAGTAGACATATAGCTTTTGTGGCTTGAGTGATAAGGTCGGGGGGGGAGGTGGGGCGCTGTGGAGTCGGGGAGGTGATGTTGAGAGTTCTGATCTCTGTGGTCAGCCATGACCATATCAAATGGTGGTGAAGGGTTGAATGTCCGCCTATGCTCCTGCTTCCCTCTTCTATGTCTCTATGTGCGCAGCCTGTGGGATAGTGCTGGTAATTGGCCTGGGTGTGCAGGCAATGCTGTAGAGCCAAGAAAGAGGATGAAACAGAACAGATAGCTGGATGAGACCTGACCTTCAGACCCTGTTTTGAGCGTCTGGCCTAACTACCTACCCCCACCCTCCCCCGTGTGTGTGCACACAATTGCTAACCCCGTGCCCTGCACTGTTGTTTCTCTGTCCAAGCCTCCATCCTACAACTCCTACACACAGTATCCGCACACTGTGCTGGTCTTTTATTCCTTCATTCACTTGACCACCAGCCCTGGACCCGACAATCCACCTTACCTGCAGGAAAATAACTATACAAAATCAGTGATACTGGAAAATAAACATAACAGGTTGTACCAGACTTCTGTTTTGAAGAATATAAGATGGACCAATATGTGTCTTTTGCCATTTTGTATTTCTTTCTTTCTCCGTGAATAAAATTTTATTCAGTCCATTGAGTCTCTACTCCAGCACCACCTCCCATGCTCATTGCTTGTTCTTGGCTCCTATCCATCTCCAGGCAGACTAAGGCTGATGTCATGTCAGGTGGATTAAGCACCAAGGGTACAAGAAGCACAAGAATATTGTACCAGAAATATAGGAGATGAGTGGTGCCCTGGAGTCAAACGTTTGATGCAAGGTGGCCAACTGTATATTAAGGGATTGTCCTTTGGTATTCTCCTGAGTCCTTTGGCAGGATAGGCCTTTTGCCCCATACCTCTACAGCTTGTGGGAGACTGATCCTATCTTCAAGGTGAGTTTGAGTTATCAAAGAACAACTGCTGGTGAATGAGAGGGCCAGCAGATAGATTATGATATTGTGATTCATCAAGATAAGTTGCAAGTTCTAATTGATTTTGACTTCAACCCCGCTCCCTCACCCTTCGCTGTTATTGGCTGTAAGAACTGACTAATCCCACTGCACTCTCAGGCCCATTCTCACAGTCAGTTGCACCCCCTCACTCTGGTCACATTATCAAAATGTCCTGTATTTCATTCCATAAGAAATGGTCATCTTGATGTGGGACTATTACCTTAAAAAAATTCTATGAAGTACAGGACACCCTGTCTGTATATGTCCCAGTTCTACTTGCTGTGCAGTCTTAAATAATTTGAAGGGTGCAGTTACTCTTCAAAGCAATCGGGTTTTCTGGCTATCCTGTAGCCTGATTCATTAAACTTATTTTTAGGCGTTATGTTTGCCTGCTGTGCAATTTTCACTACTGCTAAGCCTTTCCATTGATTGGCTCCGACACAGGAAGTTTCATCATGTGTATTACCAGTGTTCAGGGTTGTTGAGAATTCAGTTCACCAGCACAGCAACAGCTGTTACTGTCTTTGTTCAGGTAATGTAGCATCAAGTACTTTATAGACTTGGAACTTAAATCCTTCTGCCATTTCCAGATAGTTCTATTACTTTAACATGTAAAATTTATGGCTCTCCTTTCTCTAGAGATAATTGTAAAATGCAGCTACATTGCTAGTGAAGGATGACTGACAATGAAAACAGGCAGCCAGAGGCTACAGGAGGGGGTCTGTATGGAGAGTATATCTCCAACCCACTGATGAGTGGTAAGTCAAATTACTTCATAACTAACAAGGAAAAGTGTGTCTGTTGCAATTCTGATCGCACTTATGCTGTGCTTTTAATGGTAGTTGTCCTTGAAAGAGTAACATATAAGAAGAACACAATCTGCTTCCTGTTTCAACTGTTCTGATGGAAAACATGGTCAGGTCAAACTCTAGCCTGTAAGTCAGGGGTTCCTAGCTGGAGACGAGCGCAAAAAAAACCAAGGCTGACATTCCTCTACAGTAACAGAGGAGTGCTGCACTCCCATCATTCAGATAAGATATTGGACTGAGGCCCTATCTGAAATGAATGTAAAATACCCTATTTAAACAAGAACAAGAGAATTATCCAATGTGCTAGCCAAACATTTATCCTCTTCCATCACAAATCAATGCTGTTTGTGGGCGCTGGCTAGGTATAATTTGACTGCCATGTTTACATCAGTGACTGCACTTTAAAAGTACTTTGGAAGTTGAGCACTTTGGGATGTCTCGGGTTTGAAACATTTTATTTATTCATGTGATGTGGGCTATCGCTGGCTTTAAAAAAAAAAAAAAAAATCATTCTATGATCTACAGTTCTCCACCCTTTGTGTCCCAGTTCCACTTTCAATGTAGTCCTAAATGATTTGAAGAATGTAGTTATTCTTCAAAGTAATCGAGATTTCTGCAGTCTGGTTCAGGCTGTTTAAGGCGTAATGTCTGCTTGCTCTGCAAGTTTCACTCTACTTTCCGTGGATTCCAACACAGCAAGTTTGTGCTTAGCAGCATTTATTGCCCTCCTCTAATTGCCGTAGAGTGTGGTGGTGAGCTTCCTTCTTGAGCCCATTTGGTGTAGGTAAAGAGAGTTTTTCCAGTAACGAGAGATTTCCAGGATTTTAGGTCAAAATACACTATATAAAAGCAAGTTTTTCTTTCTTTTCACATCACTAGTTAAATGTGTATTTGGAATAACTGGGTTTAAAGTCACCATTTAAATGTGCAGAGTGATGCGAGGCCCAGTTCCTCTGACAAAAGCACAATGGTGTAGTTACGGGGTGGTCACTCACAGTTTGGATCCCAAACTTGGTTCATTTTGCAGGAACGATAAAGTTGGTTTAAATAAGATCTCAACTAGTGAATGTGATTCGTTTGTAATCTCTTAATTCTAGCTGCTGCCTCAGATGTATAAAATGCAATTTTGATGTCTAGTATTGGAGCATTGATAAAATTACCTCAAATACGTTTCAACAGAAACTTTAGAAAAGATCATGGTCATCTTATTCAGTGATTTCTTCCCGTCTTGACTTGTGTTTATATTGTAGCTTTTCACAACCTGTGACTTCAGGGTTTGCTGCAGGTAATGAAACATCATTGAGATTTACTCATTGGTGTAACTATTGGTCAGGGCACTGCAAAAAGACTCACCCACTCTTCTATAAAATATGGGATTTTGTTTTGCATCTGCTTGAGAGAGCATGTGGGGACCCTTGGTTTGAGGAGTTTGTTTGTGGGGGATTGGAGAGGTTGAGGGTTTGGTTGCCTGGACAATCTGAAATCTCCAACCCGTCAGCAGCTCTGGGAATACACTTAGCTGCTGTGTTCATCTGTTCTCATCTTTCTTAAGCTGGCAACCAGCTCTGATTTCCCAGGCCATAGAAAATAGGCTTTGCAAAAATATCCCATTTTTAATAACCCATTTAGTTCATTTCTCTGAACATCTCCTGCCTGTTCTTGAAGGATGACTAAATTATCCCACAGAATCAACTTCCCAATGGAAAATGATTACTCATCTGCATCAGATGCATATACTTTGAGGACACCATTAACTTTTACAGAACTTTTTTCATTCAAAAATATTCCTCATTAATTCAGAGAGAGTTAGAATCTAGGCAGAGGGAGGAGTGCTACTTCTGTCTACAGATGTTGTTTGACGTGCTGAGTTTTTCTAGCAATTTCTCTTTTTGTTTCAGATTGGCAACATTTCCTCTATGTATAAAATTTGATGGTAAAGTTCAAAGTGGTAAATAGAGAAGTGTAGGATGCAAGTTCCAGCGTGTAGGGTAAGATGGCTGCAGATAATGGCAGGAACATGCAGAAAACTCAAGACAGGAGAATGTGTTCTGAGCATCGGAACATCCAGCAAATGGCAATTGGGCACTCATTACTGCCTCCTTAAAAGCAGCAAAGCCAACTTCCCTATCCTACTTGTTTAGTGACATTGCCACCATGTGTGGTGACTGAGGGCTGATCTTGTCGAATGTCCATCTCCTTCACCACCTTTCCACTGCTGATCCTCTAGGCTAAGCGTTTGAGTCAGCACCCTCTCTACAACGTCCTCCAGAATGTCTGTTCCTTGAAGGCCTTTGATCCATGGGATTATTGTGGATGATTACATTGGCATCATGGCATTGACTGAAGTCTAGCTGAAGGTGTCATTACGCCTTCCCCCAAAATAAAACTTCCCCACCTGACTCCCTTCCAAAGCCTTCCCCATCAAGACCATTAGGATGGCCACATTTGTCATCGAATCATACCTTGGCCTGACTGTCTAATCCTCTAATTTTCTCCACCTTTGAACATTTCACTTTGTTCCGCTCCTCTTGCTAACTTTTCGCAATCCTTTTTTTCACTGCTGCTGAGCCAAGGACAAGAAAAATGTTTTCACCATTATATCTTCACTGCTGTTCTCCTTCAGCTGCTGCATCAAGATAAATATCTTGAGTGGTGGGGCAGAATGCAAGATGTGCACACTTGCTCCTCCCTGTGTTATAAATCAGAAGGCATTACAAGATGGAGAGGAAGTGGGATGTGAGAGTAGGTAGGCCTGAGGAGGAGCTTTTTTACAATAACTATTAAGAAAAAGTTGGGAAGAATTTTGATGGGGAAGATAATTTCTGCTAAACCTTGATATATTGCAGGTAAAGTGGACTATTGCCCTTGTTGTTTGTTTAGGTTTTCGGAAAGCATTTTTGTCAGATGTTCCCCAAGGAATGTTCTTTCCCATTCTGTACCTAAATACTTCCTTCTCTTAGCAGGACCCTTCCATTCTTTTGCGTAACCCCTGTGTGATACTGTCAGTGTCAGGACAATGTATGTTTAACGTCAAATGCTTGACCTCCATGTTTACACAGGCAAGAGTTTCAGATGCTTCGTCAGTCATGCAGGATTGAACAGATGCCACCTCATCTCACAATAAGTGTCCACTGACGCATTTTCTAGAAATTTATAAATAATAATCTTCAGCTTTCAAATGCCAGGTGGACAGGAAGAAAGCTTAGCACTCCACTGGAGGAACCAAACGCTTTAAGCAGGTGGGAGCTGTCTGCCTGGTGCCAGTGGCAGCAACAGGCAGGAGCTATGTTGGGAGCTGAACACTTCCTTAACAAAGAGAATAGTTTGCTCCTTGGAAGGACAGGAGATCCAGCATAGTTGAAAGTGGACATTAATGATGAGGCTTGGTGCAGTACTTGTGCCTGCAGTAGTTGGTTCCTTGGATCTCATCTGCAAATAACTGAAAACAAAATGGCTTGGGCCCCCACAGTAAACCTGACACCTAGGCATTGACATGTGCAAGACTGTTCAGAACAGCCAGCAAAAAAAAATCAAAATTGCAATCCCGAGCTAGCAGGTTTGTTAACAAGCCCTTTAAGGAGCAATTTGAAACTAATCAAGTTTCTGTTTTTGCCACACCCCGCCATCTCCTTGCCTGGCCCTTGTAAATTCAGAACTGTCCTGGAGGCATTTTGAGATCATATCTGCATTGGAATGTGGACTCTACATGGCTTTGAAATTCAGTTCTTCCGTCTCTGCAATCTTCATGTAGTGAACATGTGACAATATAGTGCAAATTCGTTTGCATGTCTTACTGATCAATCTACATTCTTCCTGCTGACAAAAGATTGATATTGCTATCTTTTAAAGTAGATTTATTTAAATATCCTTTATCCACAAACTATTGTGGCACTTGCATTTTGTGTTTTAAATTTCCTGTTTAAGTTTTTAATTTATTTAACCATAAGTGCAATCAAATGTTATTCAAATAGGGCAGGATTTCCATCCTCCTCTTTAAGTCTGTCTGAATCTTGTCTGGTCAGTAGGCAAATCTCTGACTTCAGTCATTGGGAATGATCACTCACATTGGTTTCGAACTTAATATAGCGCCAAATGTTTAAATGGATTTGCTAGCAGCATTACTGATTACAACGATAAACCTCATTTTAAACACATTCTCCGTGTTAGTAGCCCTGCTGCGTGCAACACAAGGAGAACTTGGTTAATCCGGGAACTTTTATGAGCTTTGTTGATACAATAATTATTTGCTTGATTCTGTCTTCTATTTAATTCTGAGATTCTTTGATTTACATTGTGGATTTTAGACACTGCATCAGACTGGTCCCCACTTCATGATGCTGCTATTCATGGACGTCTCATCTCACTCCAACAACTCATCAGCCAGGTAGTTACATTTTATTCTGACTTTACTGCAGTTTGCTCTAACTTCTGAATTGAATGCTTTGTTTTATCCTTTTCAGGACTTTTATTTAAATATGTTTGAATGAAATCATTGTGAGCTAATTAACTTTGCAGTACATATAATCTGCCGTATATGTGTACAAATCATTACCTTTTCCTTCAGTGTCTCAACGTCATCTTCCAGTTCTCATTACCGTTACAATCAATTGCTTTCTCCTAACGTATGTAAGAGGCTGCCATAATGTTTGTATTACACCCTGTTCCCGTGCTCTGGTAAGAAAGTGCATCACCAACATTGTGAGAATTACCCACAAAAATCTTTGAACCTTCTGCTGGTCAAATTGAGACAAAGAAATCCTATTTCCATTTGAAGAACTCAAAATTTGATATTCCATTTCCATGCTCCAAATGTAGAGCGACTGTCACCCATCATGTCTCAAAATTCCAGGCATTACATTAAACCTGGATTGATTGGTTGATTTTTATTGTCACATGTACTGAAATACAGTGAAAAGCTTTGTTTACGAGTGGTAGTCAGTATTTTCCTTCATAATATCAAATACTCCCAGGTCTTATATGGCACAGTTATCTACAGAGTAAAGCTTCCTCTAACCTGCTTCATATCCCAATGTGAATATTTTGTTGTAATTGATGTTGACCGTGACTGCTAGTCTCCAATGGATTGGAAGTTCTTGAGACCTTGGGCTTTGCATAAAGTACCATGACACCTCACCATTTCTCTGTCATCCTTGTCATTTTCAGCTTATTAAAGGCACTCCAAAGTGTAACTTATTCATGAGACTATCTTCCAAAAGCAGACTAAGCTATTAAACATTGAAATCCTCAAAACTAATTAATATACAAATGGTTTTGATAGTGCAGATGTTTTCATCTTCATACTGTGAAGAGATTTTTTACAATTATTTTTTAGAAAATCTATGATCATTATCGTTATCAAACCTGCGTAATTAAAGGTCTTTGCCCTCCAGATAGGGAGTATCCTCTAAAGTATTAGTGTAACAGTTCCTGTTTGCCTCCCCTAGACTGCGTTTGCAGTAATACAAGGCTTTCTATTACAGTATTTCGCAAAATGAAAATTAGTTGTGTAGTTTCCTGCTCTGTTTACAGCCAGAAAGGAATCCTAAATCTAACAATCAGACCTATGGAAGTTTGACTGAAATGAGCAAAGCTTCAGTAAAGATCACGTTCAAAAATCAAAAAAAGGTTTGACTTCAGTAGTAACACATTCATAGTCAGTCTGTCGGCTCAAAACCCATTTCAGGATTTCAGCCTGTAATATGGACTGACATTTCGGGACAGCCCTTGCAGAGTGCTGTACTGGCAGATATGCTGCCTTTCAGATAAAATTGTAAACAGAAGCTATTTAGTTACAATGTTGAATATAAGAATCCGCTGCACTGTAGGTATACCAATGCCAAACAGATTTGCGTTCAAGAAAACAACTTATCCCCGTCTTTGAGGGCAATTAGGGATGATAAACAGATGTTGGCCTTTCCAGCGGTGCTTGTACCGCATAAAAGAATAAAATAACCTGTGTGTATGCAGTTGCTACTGCAGTTTAGCCAACACACCACCTTGTTCATCTCCCCAACTACTCATTGGTGCATTGGTTGAGTTATTTGCAGTCAGATCTAGAAAGTCTCATTCTTGGTTAGAATCCTCATCGATAAAAGTAGACAGTAGTTAATGATCAGCAACTTACTCGAGTAGAGTAAACATACAAATGCCCGTGAGGCCTCAGTTAACTATTGATTAATTCTGTGGCAAAGACATTGATGCAATCACATCACTCTCGTATTGGGAATGTCCACTGCAAAAAGATGGTTTCGTTACCTAATCATGTCATGTAGTTTTGCAAGCTCTTCAAGTTGTGCCAGCTGAAGCTATTGGTCTTAGCTAACAATTACTCACTTAAGCCTCATTAAGCCCATTTTTGTCTCGAAAGCACCCCACTTTTTTAAAAAAGACTTCTACAAATGATTTATTGCATTATTTGTCATTTCTCTTGTAACACTCTCCTCTTCTAAAACAGAAGTGAACACATCACCTTCTGTCTTTAGTTGGGAAATCCTCTTTAATATCTATTTCCAGGGCAGATGTTATGTAGAGTAAGTTTTAAGGTTCTTGCTGTGTAGGTAATATACAGCAAGTAGGAGATACTTAGCTGCTGTTAGCTGCTCGTCATGAGCCACGTGGAAAAATGAACGTTTGCTTTCCAGGGCTATGGTGTAAATCTCCTCACAATGAACAGAGTCTCACCGCTCCATGAAGCCTGCCTTGGTGGACATTTTACCTGTGTAAAATACCTGTTGGAGCATGGCGCTAAGGTAAGGTGTACACTCAATCTAGTGAAGAAGAACTGTCAGATTAAATTCCCATTTGTTCTGTGGAAGTGGGCTGTAGGCAGGTTCAATTCAGACATTCTTAACCCTGTTTTCAAAACCTACCTCCTGGTTCCAGAGTTAACTGATATTGTGAAGAGTATTTCCAGCATATTCTGCTTTTACTTATGGTTAACAGTTCTTTCTGTTAAACTCCTGTCCTCCTCTCATTCAAATCTGCCTCCATCAAATTTTCCAAAAATCTGCCCTTGACCCAACCATCCTTGTAAGCTGCTGCCCCATCTCCAACCTTCCTTTCCTTTTCAGCCATTGTAAGGGGAATACCTAGACATTTCTGTAGTCACAGAAGAGACTCCAAAAAGGTATGTTGCTACCCTGGTGTTAGGATCAAGAGTCTCCAGTTGGTTACAGGACATCCTGAAGGAGGAAGGTGAACAGCCAGTGGTCATGGTACACATTGGAAGTTTAAAACAAAACATAATGAGGTCCTAAGAGCAGAATATAGGAAGGAGGCTGAAAAGTTGGACCTCAAAGGTAGTGACTTCGGGATCACTGCTAGTGCCACATGGTAGTCAGAGTAGAGATATAGGGTATGTCGGATGAACATGTGACTAAAGAGATGGTGCGAGGAGGAGGGTTTCAGATTCCAGTGGCATTGTGACCAATTCTGGAGGAGGTGGGACCAGCACAACTGGATAGGTTACACCTGGAGGGCGGAGACTCGTGCCTCAGGGCAAATATATGATAATGTGTTTGGGGACGGTTTAAACTAAATTGGAGCTGGGTGGGAAACTATGTAAGGAGTCAGATGCAGGGGAATAGAGGACAAGGACAAACAATGGGGAAATAGAGAAGTGATAGGCAGAGGGATCAAAGGCCAAAAGAAGGCAAGCCCTATGTTGACCTTCATAGCAAGATTCAAGTACAGGAACCTAGATGATTGCAATTGTACAGGACTTTGGTGAGGCCACGCCTGGAATACTGTGTAGAGTTTTGGTATCCTTATCTGAGGGAGGATCTTCTTGCTATAGAGGGAGTGCAGCAAAGGTTTACCAAATTGATTCTGGAATGGCGGGACTGACGTATAAGAAGAGATTGAGTTGGTTAGGATAGTATTCACTGCAGTTTAGAAGAGTGAGGGGAGATCTCATAGAAACTTATAAAATTCTAACAAGACTAGACATGGTTCAGGAAGGATGTTCCCTACGTGTTTGTATACATGTGGTCCTCAAAGTGATTGAGGCCAAAACATTGTATTTTCAAGAAGGAGGGCGATAGAGCTCTTGTAGCTGAAGAGATCCTGAGATAATGACGGGGGTTGGGATTGGGTTTGGCGCTCAATCATTTTGAATGATGCAGCAAACTTGAGGGGTTGAATAACCTCCTGCTCCTATCTTCTATGTTTCTATTTCCCACACAACTGTTCTGATTGTCTAACTTATCAACAACCAGTCTCTGGGCAAAGCTGCCCTCAGCGCACACTTACAATGTCAATGAGTCTCCAACATTTTCCACCTTAGATTGAACACATTAGCAGTGTCAATATAGCCCACATTGATTTCCGGTAACTTGTTTTTAAAACTGCAACATCTCCTTCCATGGTCCTTGGTTTAAACAATATGCTTTTTTTCCATTTTGGTGCACAATCCTAAATAAAGAACAATAAAAAGATGTAGTCCTTATGTAAGCCTAACTCTTCTGCCAAATGTCTTTACTTGCTGCAAATTCCATTCATCCATTACTCCATGCTCACTAACCTAAATTGACCCCTCCCTGGTCAATCAACATTTGGATCCTTCTTTTCAAATTCCTCCATAGCCTCACGCCTATTTTTTTGAACTCTCACCAGCTGTTCAACCCTCCTAAATAGCCATGCTCCTCTAATTTCAAATGCTTGATTTTAACCAGTCCACCATTAGTGGCTGTACCTTCATTTGCCAAGGTCCTGAGCTCTCGAATTGCCTCCCTAAACCCCTCTGCTTGTCTTCTGTCCTTTCTTGCACTCCTTAAACCTACCTTTCTGGCCAAGCTATTGGTGATCCGTTCTAATAGCATTGCTTAATATAAGATTTTGCTTCATAAGGTTGTTCCATAAAATGCAATGCATTAAGTGCAAGTTGATGTTGATACGATGTGCAATGTATTTATTTGGATAATAAATTACATAATGTGCAGAAAGAAGTAACAGTAACAGTAACAGGGTCAGACATTTCAGTGTGATTGTACATTCAGAAGTATGGAATCATTTTTCTTGGGAATGAAGGCCACCTTTTCAAAGGGTAATGCATAGATATCCTGTCCCAGAAAAACTGCACTTGCACTTAAAGGATTGAATCTCAGGAAATTACCTAGGCTAGGAGAGTGTTCCCTAAGCAGAATAGGCAGTGAGGACTATTTCCCACCTCATCTTCTACCATAAGCAGAAACAGCAGTTTTTGTTCGCTTGTGTGGTTTTTATGACGTCTTTACGTCTTCTGCCAAAGATGTGCACGAGATTGAGGAACCCTGAAGGAAACTCAAGTACGTATTACAAGAACAGAATGCTGTGGGTGCTGGAAATTAAAATTAAAATTAAAACAGAAAACGCTGCAGCATTTCTGGCCTGGCAGCATCTGTGGAGAGACGAACCGAATTAAGTTCCAAGTCAGTGATCCTTCTTCAGAACTAGGAAATGTTAGAAATGTAATAGGTTTTCAGCAGGTGAAGGGAAGGAGTAAAAGGAGACATCTGTATTAGTGAAAAAGACAGGGGTTAAATGAAGAGAGTTGGTGATGCAGGGCCAAAGAGAGTGGAATAAGCAGTCTTGACCCGAAACGTCAGCTTTCCTGCTCCTCTGATGCTGCTTGGCCTGCTGTGTTCATCCAGCTGTACACAGTGTTATCTCAGATTCTCCAGCATCGGCAGTTCCTACTATCTCTGGAATAAGCAGTCATCTTGGCTGGCACCCAATCTGCTGCCACCTTCCTGTAAGAATGTTTCCGCATTCCTTTAAACCATGCCTCCACTCTCGCATGCATTAAGAAATGACAGATTTTGGTGGTCACTGCAGGTGGGTTGACTAATTCTTCCTCACTCGACCTGGAAGATATACCAAGAGCAATTAACAGCATTGTAATGTCCATGGATATCAAGGTACCCAGAGGCCTTGCACAGATGAAACATGAAAGGCCAGGCAAAAAAATGTTATCAAGAGTGCAAACCTTATATAAAAAAAAAATCAAGTCATGTACAATCACTAAATTTTAAACAGAACTTTGGAGAGTCATTAACTATTTTCTATTACTGCCACTGCGCCGATGCAATACCAACAGTTACAACTGGATTTAAGAGATGTGATGTTCATCAAACAACAAAGGTAAACACCTGCGTTTATTATGAATTAAAAATGATTTGAAATGTCTGCAACTTCCAGCAACTCCACCTGCGCTTTTGAGTGCAAGAAATTCACCGAGGCTCCTTAGACAGCACCTTCCAAATCCATGATCCACTACCCTCTAGAAGGACAAAGAGAGCAGATACCTAGGAACACCACCATCTGCCATTTTCCTTCAAGCCACTCACTGTCCTGAATTGGAAATATATCGCTGTTCCTTCATTGCCACTGGGTCAAAATTCTGGAACTCCCTTCTGAGCAGCACCATGGGTACAGCTACACCAAATGGACTGCAGTGGTTCAAGAAGGCAGCTCATCAACACCTTTTATAGGATGTCTAGGGATGGGCAATGAACAATTGCACCAATATCCTATCAATTTTTTTTTTAAATTTGGTAGATTGATTCCTACATTTTTCACATTGGATCTAACCAGTACTTCATTGAAGCACTTTGAGATTATCCAGATGCTTGTATTCTTAAATAGAATACTGATATTAAGTCAACCTTTATAAATGATCCCATTAAAACTGATATCCAAACATAAACTTGGGCATCAACTCTACTCTTCCACCAGGTAAATGCAGCTACAATTGACTGGAACACTCCACTCTACAATGCATGCTACAGTGGCAGTGAGGCCTGTGTGAACCTGCTGTTACAACATGGAGCTGAGCCCCAAGGACAATGTGCATTGGCATCACCCATCCATATAGCAGCAAAGCGAGGTAGGTGATCCAAAAGCACACTTACTCAGCCTCTTGTTGCTTAAGCAGTATGTTTACTGACCTGCAGGCTAAGATCATCAATTGTAAGCTAACCTCTCAAAAATTGAAGTTCAAACTGTTGATTTGCAGGAAAACTGCCTGAAAGCTGACCAATTTTATTTAAATTAATTGAAAAAACAATCTTGCTACGAGGGAATCAATGTACGTTAAGAAAATTAGCTCTAATTCTGTATTATGCATCTCATGGACTGGTTTACTACACGAATGGAAAAATTGCTTCTGGTTAATTAACAAATATAGCAAGTGTGTGTAGTATGTATCGAGAGAGATGGTTCCTTAAATAGAGGAAAATAAATAGGTGGTTAGTGGGATTCATCACCAGTCCCTGGAAGTTAAGACTGCGAAAGTGAGAGACCTGTCCTTCTGTTGCACAGGAATTAGTATTTAATGAAGTCCAGCAGATATGCTTTGGAAGAGGGTATCTGTTACTTGTAAATACAGCATCTCACTGTTCCTCACTGAGGTGACCACTGTTTGACTAGAGGGAGATAATAGAACTATGGATGTTAACTATGCTGTAACCCACCTTGTTGCTGAAAAGGCTTTGCTGGAAGTAGACACGATTTCATGACCTTGCTCATAAAGGACCGTTCGGGGATGATCAATTGCTTCCTTGGTGAAACACACTGTGCGCAAGCAGAGCTCTTCTGACAGTGCCTCATGTGACCATTCATCCTTTTGTCCTCTCTAGGTGGGGATGCTGGAATTGGTAATAAGATCAGTGCAGTACACTCTGCCACGATGGTAAGAGGCAGAAGATTTAGAGGGATGTAAGAAAATTTTATTTTACCCAGAAGATGGTGGCATCTGAAACTCGCTGCCTAAAAGAGTGGTAGAGACAAAAACCATCACAGCATTTAAGTGTGCAGATGTATACTTGCAATGCCAGGGCATACAAGCCTGGAAAATGGGATTAGAATAATTAGGTGATTGTTTTGACTCAATGGGCTAAAGGCTTTTTCTGTGGTATAGACCGCTGTGACGATAAACCTGTTTCCACTGCTTCTGGTCCAAGTACTCCAAAGTAATCTCAAACAGTCACAGTGCTTTCACCATCTGTACGTAGAAGTGGAAGTCCTCGAAATAATACCTGAGCTGATAACTGAACTCTGGATGGCGTAACTAGCCAAAAAAGAAAACTTCCAGAAATAAGAATTTAAAAAGGTAAAACTCTGAGTAAATTTCCAGAGCAGATGAGGTGAGCCTCCCAGGGTGAATGTCACATCGGAGCCTCAAACCATATTAACACAAGGTCACTTGTATTGTTGTTATTGTTTAATCTGAATGGCTGCAATATAAATAGGGATCAATTCTGCTGCTGACAATTTCTATGGACAGCAGTGCAGTGTAGACAAATCTTGGAGCCTGCTGGCTGCTGACCTGGCACATGGTTGCTCTGGGACACATTCCCAAGTTAGGATAGTGAGTGGCTTGGAGGAGAACTTGCAGGTGATAATGTTCCCATGTATCTGCTGCCCTTGTCTGTTAAAGTGGTAGAGTTTGTGGAGTTGGAAAGTGCCGTTAAAGGAAATTTGAGTTGTTGCTGTGCACCATGCATATGTCACACACTGCTGGTATGGATGGATTGCTATTCAAGGGACTGCTTTGTCATGGATGGTGTCAAGTTTCCTGAGTATTGGAGATGCACTCAGTGTGGATAGTGTTTCATCACACCCCGACTTGTGCTTCGTAGATGGTGGACAGGAGTTGAGTTACATGCCCCTCAATCACTGACTTGCTTTTGTAGCCATGGTATTGATATTGATAACTCTCTGAAGGTGTTGATTGCCATCCTCAGAGATTGAATGAGGATACAAAAAAGCTGACCTCTAAGTTAAACACCAATCAGCCCTAATGCCAGAGTCTCTCTAGGAAGCAACCAAGAAAGACTGAGTGCAAAACTGAAAATCTCATGTTAGGAAAATTAGAGATGCTGTTCCATACTTGGGCTTATGGCATTTTGGATTACTTCCTGTTCCAGTTATGGTGCACATTTTCAGGGCTAATGATTACAGTGAATGAAAATTTGTTTCATAGAGAATTATTAACTTTTGGGATGACATTTTGCAATTCAGCAATTCATTTATTTTTGTGAAAGCTAGCTCCCTTACCAATTCTAACAAACCATCACAGTTTGTTGCAAGATAAATGTTTCTAGTCCACTACTTTTGCTTGCTATCACCATGTGCTATAAAAAGATTAGATACTGACTCAGTGAAGCATACTGGGATCTTTTACAAGTTCTCCTGTTGCCACTTGCTGTAATGATCAGGCAAGACTGGGGTTATTGCTGCATATTAAACTGCAGGTATGAGCCCGCACTGAGCTGTCTCACAGTATCTATGTGGAATATTTAATTTTCTGTTAGATTATTCAGTGCAGGTTTGAAGATACAGGACACCAGTGTTCAGCATATACAGGGATCTTAGACAAAGTTGTTCGCGAAACCTGTAAAACATTAGTGGGGGAGGGCAGTCAATTAGAGAAAATCACCCATGTACATTGGAGAGATGTAATCTGTGTAATTCCGATCACAGGTTCTCTCTCTCCCATGCTTACTGCTCCAAGTCTCCAACATATGATCCTTTTCTCCCACCCATGATGCTGCGTGATTGACAAAATCTATTATTGGAGGAATGACAAGGGTGAAAAAAAGGAACTTTTAATTAAACAATTATTCTAACTGGTGATGGGCAGGGTGCGGTGACAGGACCAATCATTTTGAGAGCGGATGGTTCAAAGAAAGATAAGAAATGGCTTTGCCCACAAAACCTGGATCTCGGCTCTTGATTGAAAATCCCCAAGACCCTTGCTTGAAAAGTAAGAAAGATGGAAAACCTAGAGTTGGAGGTCACAACATCTGGATTTGGACTGTCCAAGTCACAGACACAAACCACCCAAACCATGGACCGGAACTCCATACACGATACAGAATCCTGTAGTGAGGGCTCCACCTCCAAAACCTGTAAACAAAATCACTGATTCCTATACATAAAAACCTAGATAATACCATCCTGAAACCACGCAAAATCCACCCAACGCCCCCAGATTCTGATCTTCTAAATCTAGACCCAGGCACATTGACACCTGATCCCAGACCCTGCTGTAGCCAGACTACCACAGATCAGAACCAGCCAAATCTCAGACCTGAGTGCTGACCCATTGAAACCACAACTGAGCGCTCCAAATCCCTGAAGCAGATCCACAGTATCCGACAACCAGTACCAAGACCAAGACCTTCTAAATCCAGACCTGCCAAAAATCTGGACCTGGAATCCACAATAGCATGGAACCACTCACTGTTATTTTGAAAGAATACTTTTGTTACTAGCTTTTTGTTTTCTTGTGTTAATTTAAATACTGTGGAGTCTAGGAAATTGCTGTAATCTTATGTAGATGGCTTTAGGCTTAATGAAAGGATGATTATTATTGAAGATATTGATGAATTCTCCAAATTCTGCTTCTGAGTGTGTCAGAATACTCCATATGTCATCAAATATCTGTAGTATTACACAGCGAGCCAGGGACACTTTCTAAATCCAACTCTCTTAACACTCTGTCATGTACATGTATGAACAGGCTGGGGTATATTTCTGGCCCATAGGTCTACTTTGCATTTGAAGATAAAATTCATGATTTAATTCAGAGTCTTTTTTGTTAAATCCAAGTGTGGTACTTATTATATGTTGAGTTTGTAAGGCAGAGAATATTTATTTTAAAGGTAATACACCCAGGATAACGCCCTCTATTTCTATATTTTTGTACAGACAGTGTTCATTGTTAAATTTATGGCAATGGAGGTTCATGTTTAGTGAGTTAACAATTTCAAATTTTTGTGGCTTTAATATAACTAGAGCATTTCACTGATCAGGGATTACAATATATGCCTCATTTAAATACAGATGACACTACAAGATGTACTAGTTGGAAAAAAAATTGAGACATGGAGTAAATATTTAAAATCATCTATTATCTGATGGTAGTCTAGAACTAATTTGTATATATTCCCCATGTTACACTGTTGGATCTTTGGAAGCCACTATCCTGGTGCATTTGTCAGTATGATTCTTAAACCGAACTTACAAGCAGAAAGACACTTGAAATTTGCTGATGAAAGCAAGGGTGGTTTGCAAATAATTGGAAATAGAGTACAGAAGATTTAATTATAATAAATGAATATTTGGTACTTTGCAACCTTATCTATCCAAGGAAATCTTAAAAGACATTCTACACAAATACTGAAGGTAATGTTACTTCCTGATTGCATCACCTATTAAAGGACATGGTGACAATGAAACAAGAAGAGGCTCTTAAAAATAAAAAGAAAACTAGCCCCTGGAAAATCCAGAATTATCCTGTAAGAAAACCCCTCAAAAAATAATTGACCTCTTGTAGGAACCATCATAAATTACAAGATTTCAGACAGTTTTGGAGGTGTCAGGATCCAAAGAATCTTGCCTGCTTTGTGTAAATGCTTTCCCGATATATTTTCAGGTCACAAGAAGTGTATGACTACCTTGTTGAATCATGGGGCACTCATTGATTACGGTGTCACACATCTGGGGACACCCCTTTATGTAGCCTGTGAAAATCAGCAGATGGACTGCGTGGAAACCCTCCTAAACTCAGGTAAACCTCTGCCTTCTAAGACTTAGGAAATTATTGAGGTAATTATTTACACCAAGAATCCTATGTACGTAAATCTGATGAGGAAATGTAAGTGCTGGTGTCGATTTTCAGATTCCAACCTCAGAAAGGCTTTATAGCATTGTAAAAATAGAGGTTCCAAACTGGGATATAATCTGGACTTCACCTTGGATGTAGATGAACACACACATTAACTTTTAACAACTGTTCACAGACTTACTTGGCATTATCCTTTGACTCATACAGGACTGGAGAAACAATGGGCAGCAAGACTTCACCACCAGCCCAAATCCACCATCGTCTCTTGTGCTGCAGCCCAGGTGTGTCCCATTCTTGAAGATCCTTTGTAAATGTTCTTTACCAGGTTTTTTCCTGACTGACCATCTTGTCATCTTCCATTCTGGTGGGATTTGGGCGAAGGAGATGGAGATGGGTGTAGGAGCATCAGTTGCTCCTCTGTTAGGTTGGAGGCACCTGCAGTACATCTTGTCTTCTACAGCACATACTTATTGGTGATGCTGTCTTTCCATATGACGCCCAGTATCTTACTCGGTCAGCTTTGGTGAAAGACATCCAACTTGCCATGATACATTCGCTATTCTCTTCCATGTCTCACTGTAATAGATTGCAGTTAGTACAACTGTGGAGGTGTAGAGTTGCAGCTCCATGATGTTTCCACTGTGTGGATGCCCGGGCCATGAGGAGTTACTGTAAGGTTCATGCTGCTTTGCCTCTTGTTGTGAGCACTGGTCTCAACATTTCCCTCCTTGGAGGTGTTGCTCCCTAGGAAGGATAAGTGATCAGTGTCCTCTGTATTCTGTCGCCCAGTGTTGATGAATGGTAATGTTCCTCTACTGAAGCCAATCCCATGCCTGGTTGAATTTAGTTGGATATGGGATTAATGCTATCGTGCTGTATAAAAGGCATTTATCACTGCAGAAACAGCAAGGGGTAGCCATACTGGTAAATTCCATTTTATTTTAAAAAAGAGACAGCAGAGTTGAGGATGCACGTAATGATGGGACTAATTGGAAATATTCAAGGATTAAGTAGAGAGCGGCTGTCACTATTAGGTAGAGAAGAGAAACAAAAACGATGGCGCATTAAAGCAAAATTCTGAGAACTGAAATAAAGACCGTAAGTGTTGGAGAAGCTCAACATTGAGAGGGAGTCAACATTTTGGATCCAGTATGACTCTTCTCTTCCGAAAAAGAGTCACATCAGACTCGGTGCTAATTCTCTTTCTCTCTCCACAGATGCTGTTAGACCTGAGCTTCTCCAACACTTCCTGTGTTTATTTCAAACATCAGTGGAACACTAACCCAATTCGAAGTTGGTTAATATAAGAAAGCCAGCAAAAATCAAAAGGGATCAAGGAAAGGATGTTAAGTGAAAATGATGAGAAGTGCAGGAAAGACAAATGTGGATGGATAGAGTTAAAAGTCAAAGAGGCACAGGTAGCAGTAAATTAGAATGATTATACCCCAGAATCTGTTCAGTAATTCATAGGAGAAGAGACAAACCACTGTACCAATCAAAAGCAAAGATGACAGGATGCTATTATTGGACAAGCAACAGGAGATCTTCAACTTGGCCAATCCCAGATCCATGTTCGAGTTCAATGACAACACAACACCACAGCAGCTGAAAGTTAATCTTGGCAATATTGCAAGATCAAAGATCCAAAAAGCCATCAGAGTTTGAAGGACAAGGCACATGTGACCAGCACAATAGCAGCAGAGCTGTTGAAACATAACAAGAGAACTAGCATAACTCAGCTCATGAACCTGTTCAACAGAATCTGAAAATGAGAATTTTTTTTATCTGAATGTTATTAGCCTGTGGTGGACGGCCCTTGTAGCCACACTATTTATATAGTTGGTCCAATTCAGTTTCTGGTCAGTGGTAACTTCCAAGTTATCAATCGTGAGTTATTCAGCAATAGTAATTGACACTGAATGTGAAGGGAGATGGTCATTGCCCTGCAGTTATATAGTCTAATGTTAACTGCTATCTAATTACCCAAGCTTGAATGTTGTCCAGGTCTTTTTGTACTTGGGTATGGACTGTTTCAGTATCTGAGGAGTTGCGAGTGGTGCTGAAATTTTTGCAATCATTAGGGAACATCCCCATTTCTGACATATGGTGGAGGACAGATTATTGATGGAGTAGCTTAAGACATTTGGACCTTGGATACTACCTGAAGAAGTCCTGCAGCAGTGTACCAGATTTTGAAGATTTACCTCCAACAACGACAACCATCTTCCTTTACGCTCAGTATAATTGAAATCATTGGAGAGTTTACCCCCGATTCACCTTTAAGTCCAGTTTTACTAGGGCTCCTTGATGCCACACCAGGTCAAATGCTGCTGTGATGTCAAGGACAGTCTTTCTTGCCTCACCTCTGGAATTTATCGCTGTTGGCTATGTATGAACCAAGGCTGTTTACTTATTTGGCAAAACCCAACTGAGTGTCACTGAGCAAGTTAATTTCTTTGTAAGTATCATTTGATAGTACTGTTGATGACACCATCCAGCATTTTACTGATGATTGAGAGTAAACGGCTGGGGCACTAATCCGCCGAGTTGGATTCATTTTTTTTGTGGAGAGGATATAGCTCGGCAATTTTCTACATTTACTGGGTGGATTCCAGTGTTGTAACTGTACTAGAACACCTTGTCCAGGAACATGTTGCATAAATCTTCAGTACAACTGCTGGAATATTGTCAGAACTTGTAACGTTTACAATATTGGCATCAACATTTTGTATGGTGCTAACACTGATTGAAGTGGAATAGATTCAGATGTATTTAAAATTCAAAATTGGGCTTCAGTGAGGTGTTGCAGACCATCAATAACAGTGGAATTGCAATCTGCAGACTCGTGGCCCCTTGTGCACCTCGCTCACTTATTACGAACAAATTTCAGAAAAGCCATGTTTCAATGAATGTAGGAGTGTATGCTAGGAGCAGAACAACATGTCCCTACAAATGAGGTAACAACCTGAAGTTACAACACAGGAACATATGCATGTTGAACATTGGAAGTAGTAGACAGTGGAGCAAAGAGATCCCATATCTGTCACATCCAATTAAAGCTCCAGCTGTTTGATGTTTTGAACATTCCAATCTGTTGGTTTTTCCAAACTCCCAGCTCACTAATGTCTCTGATCCCTTTATCTTTGTTCCACCACAATATCTCCAGTCTCTGACTTTCTGATTATTTTATGATCATCACTATCTTCAGTGCACCGAGTATTTGAGCCCCCGTTTATACTAATACCTTAATCAGATCTTTGACCCCCTTCTGCTCCTTGGCATTAATATCTGTAGTGCTATAAATCCTGTATAATCTGAGCATTACGCAGAGACGGAGCGAAAGGTATGATTGCACTACTTTTCATGGGCTGTGGATGTTACTTGAAAAGAAAGACAGTCCTTCAAAATCATCCTTTTTCTCCTTCCTACAATTCTCTTGTTTAGGTGCCAACGTTAACATGAGCAGAAACCTTGAATCTCCACTTCACGTGGCAACCAAGAATTCTGATGCACAACTAGTCAATCTACTGCTAGAACACGGGGCAGACACTGACGCTAAGAACGCTGAAGGAAAGCGGCCTGTGGAACTTGCATTACCAAACAGCTCTTTAGAAAAATTACTTTTACAATGGGAAGGTACTGGCAAAGCAAAGGTATTCATTTCTAAAATAAAGATACAAGACACAGAGTAGCATATATTACAGAGTTGGAAAAAGGTGATTAGGGTACATTTAAATATTGATAACTTTCCTACGTTAAAAGACATTGTCACTGTTTCTAGGAGTCTCCTCTTTCCTTGTCAAGATATTGTAACTACAGGCAGGATGTTTCATGTAATTTTTCTGAAGCATGTTTAGCCTATCCTTTTATTCATTGTTTTAAATGTTCCTTACAGGGGAAGAAAAGCAGGCTGTTCATCATAACTAATCCTGATCTACTTTTCAGTTGAATCATGGTTGACTTGCCTTAACTCCATTTATCAGCATTTGTTCCATATTTCTTGATACTTGATAGAAATCTATCCATCTCAAACTTGAATACTTCAGTTGTTTCCCAGCACTTGCAGCTTTTTTAAAGGGAGAGATTGTAGATTTCCGCCTTTTTTTGTGTAGAAAAAAATGCTTTGAGATTTCACTTCTCAGCAGCCTAGTTCCAGCTTATTAACAATTATGGCCCCTTGTTCTGGACTTCTCTTCCTGAGGTAGGAGTTAGAAGAACTTATGGTGTTAGGGTGATATATTAGCATGGATAGTGGACTGGCTAATAAACAGGAAACTACCCTTTGATCAAAATTCTATGCACACATTGGCAGACTGTAACAAGTAATGCCATAGAGAATTGTGCTGGGGTGTCAACTGTTCAAGTTTATATTGGTGACTTGGATGAAGGGACTGGGTGTCTTATAACTAAATACGTTAATGATACGAGGATAAGTCAATGCAAATTGGGAGGAGTACTGATTGCTAGGAAGAAAGGATTATGCCATGAGGAAAGATTTGGGCTTGTGTTAAGCTTTTAGAAAAGAATGAGACATATTTTAGTAAAATATTGTATATTTTGAGGAATGTTGAGAAGATGGCTCCCCTCATGAAGGATTCTAGAATTGAGGTACAATTTCAGAATGTGGGATGTGTGAAACAAAGAAAAACATGAGGAATTTCTTGTGGTTAGGGGAGGCTGGATTGTTAATTATGTTTAACTCCAACTTGAATATATTTTTACACAAGGACTATGGAAGGGTAGACAGGAAACTGGTAGTTGAACCCATAGTCAGATCAGACCTGATTTCATTGAAGAGTGGAGAAGGCTTAGGAAACACATGGCCTGTTCCTGCTCCAATTTCTCCGTACATAAACAGCAGCCAATCACCTTTCAATTGCTGAGAAGAAAAATGTTTATAAAATTTGGTGGCCCCTCCATTCTGTCACTTGTAACTGAGCTACAACTGATTCATTTGGAATCATGGTTTTCTTTTAGATGTTATGACCGGGTAATGGATATTCTGAGATTTTGTTTTTTCTTTACAAAATGTTAAGCTGATGTTTTGTTTGCATTGCTGCCGTTGTCAATGTTAACTTTATATCCAAACTAACTCAGTTGCCTTCTGATTCATTTTTTAGGTCCACTGTCCTTGAAACAGTTGTGCCGACTGTACATTGGAAAATGTTTGGGTCATTCTCGGCCTATTTCTATATCCAAGCTACCCATCCCACAGCAGCTAAAGGACTTCCTGTGCTACAGATAATTATCTGAGACTTGTGTAATTGCACCACACATCAGAAACTCATCTCCAAGTGTTAGGAGATGTACCTTTTTAATTTGAAATAATACTTATCAAACTCTATTCCCATAACTGCAGCCTGAGACCACCAGTAACGATTATCAGCTGTGCCTGTCCACTTCGCAGTTGTCCTTTTTAATGGTCCATCTCCCGTCCCCTACTTTTAGGTACTGATCTGAAGGTCAGTGTTAGTGTGACAGTAGTTCAGTCTTCAGGATTACAACAGCCAGCAGCATGATTGTCCATTAAGAATCTTGCAGTTTACCCACTGCAAATCTAGCCCTTTAACTGTAAGCTAGTCCCTAGTCTTGACTTCTGTCTGGGACCTACTGGTACCGTTCCTTTCACAGCCACAGCTAAGCATAATTTTGAGGTATTCACTTCTGGAGCTTAAGAATTGTAGATCTAGCTGTGAAGAAATACAACATTATGAAAATGCTCAGCAAGTCGGGCAACCTTTGCAGTAAGAAAGTTAACATTTCAGAGCAGCAAACTGTAATCCTCGGTATTTTGCTTTTGTTTTCATTCTTCTGATACCCTATTTGAACTCAAGGACAATGGCACGTTTCAAGCCTTGCCACAAAAGAAGTTGGGATTATGAGAGATTTTCATCTTCATTCACTGCATTGGTAATTCTTCCTTTCGTGTCCTTCTGATCTGTTAATATCTTTAATTCCCCAACAGATGCTTTAGTTTATCAGTAACCTTGGTGCAAGGGATCTGCAAGTGAATCAGGACAGTCTTCAGGATTCTATTAATCCCCGTGGTAGGAAGCAGCTCTGAGTTTAATGTAAAATCAAAATTAAGTAGTATTTCTTCGTTCTTATTGGGTTTGTGAGGATTAGACTTAAAAAAGACTTTGGAGATGGAGGCTGAAGTGCTTTGTAAAAGGAAATATTTTAGTATCATACGGAAAGGGACATTCAGCCTGAGCCTGCTCCTACAAATAGTAATGTCAAATTGAATCCCGTACCCCTCTACTTTTCCATGACCCTGCGAGCTATTTATCTTTGAACATATTATCTTTTGAAAGTTCCCAAGGAATCTGCTTTCACCATCCTTTCAGCACACAAAGCTGTGAAAAAGCATTTCTAATCTGACTATCAACTTTCCTACCAGAGGAAACTTTCCTTTGCCCATTGAATGTCTCATTCTCTTGGGTCCCCCCATGCCCTTCTCTGTTCTAAAGAAAGCAATTTGAGCTTCTCCAGTCTCTGCACATACTTGATGTCCTTCATCTCTGCCATAATAATGCCATTTGTAATGTCTCTAAGTCCTTTACATCCTTTCTATAGTGTGGAAGGCCAAGTATCCTGCATGTTGTATGCTGCTTTCTTAACAGCCTTGTCAACTTGCCTGCCTTTCTTTTAAGATTTGAGAGCTTCACCCATTTACCTGAGGGTCTTCTGCTCTTGCACTGCCTGTTGTTAATAACCTTTACAGAATACTGCATCTGTTTCCCTCGCAAACTGCATTGCTTCACATTTCACTACTATTGCCGTGTGTCTTCTCAATAGATCAGTCTATGTCCTCCTGATATCTGCTACTATCCTGCTCACTAATGATACTGAACTTAGCAATGTAGTAATTAACAGACTTCAACATTGTGCTCCTCTCCCCAGGTGCAAGTTATTTATGTGGAACAAGAAAAGCAATTTTTCTAATACTGATACATGGACAGACCCCACTGCTAACTGCTTTCCAGACAGGAAAGCATTTGTTTCTCATTAACCTCTATCATTTAGCCAATTACACACCCTAATTACCACCATCTTTTTTAATGTTGTTTCTGTAGTCTTTCCATAATTCCATCGTAGCCTCCTTCTGCAACCTAAAATGCATCTCATCTAGACCTAAAATAATTAAAAATTGTAATGTATTCAACTTCCACTTTCGTAAAATCTTCAGTAGGTTGTTATTAAAAGACAACAATAAAAGTCTTTGCAGAATTCCAACATGGTTGTGACAGATACTGAGGTAAGAATCATTAAAGTCTGTCTGTGTCTCTCTCTCTTTCATATAATCTGGAAGCAATGAGTACCAAAAATATTGAACTTCCCTTCCTTTTCCAACCCATTTGTGGTTTGTTATTGAGATTGAGCAACTCAGAATTTTTATGTACTGGTCACCTTTTGTCCTTGAACCACTGTCAATAAGCTTTAACAAATAATTATGGAATCTTGCTGTGCACAACTTAACCACATGTTTGTCTACATAACAGCAGTTGCAATTCAAAGCTGTCTTATT